AGGGAGGGAGGGAGGAAGGAAGGAAGGACAGGTTTTATCCCTGGAAGGAATTGTGCAGGATTCATTGTTTGTAATCTTTTTACCCTCAGTCTGATCTGACAACTCGGGCTTTCCTTTGTCCTGCATGTGCCCTTTGGAAAGCAGATCTGATTCTGTTTTGAAATATCAAACCCAATGCACTTATACATGCCAAAGAGTGTGTACCCTCTGCATCTAGCGTGTTCAGATATAGCTTTATTACAAAATAAACACGCGTTTGCCCTGAGCTTGCATTAAGGCAAACCTGCCTGTTCTTTTGACAACCAAGTCCTAATGCAAGTCTTAATAGAAACTTCATTTCTTTAGGAAAAGCCGGTATTATTACCTGCCACTATATAAAGTGCTCAGTAGTAAATGTAGTCAGCTTTACTAGGTTGGGGATTTGCATAATGCTTATGCTTTCTGTCAAATGCTGCTCCGTGGGGTGAGTTCATCATGGAACGGACTTGAAATTCATTTTTAAGTAAGACGATCTCTTGCCTTTCTGCACACCATCTGTTGTAGATCCCATCAGTCTCTCCAGGTGCTGACTCTCACCTCTAGGCTGCCATCAGCTCCCAGATCTGCGGGTTCAGCCCCCATTTCTCTCCAGCAGCCTCCTGGATACCGCTTGTGTCTTTCCCATCTCCACTTCCACATGTCCTACACTGAGTCCGTATCTTTCCCCATAAACGCTGCCCTCCTCACTCCTTATTTCTGTTGAAGGCACCCTGATTCTTCCAGGCACCCCCCTTTACAACGGAGGAGTCATACTCAACTCTGTCCTCCCCTATCTCTTTCCAGTACCCCATCAGCGGGTCAGTTTGTATCCATTCAGATCCTACCATTACCCATTTTCTGCAGCGCCACCAGCGCCTCCTCTGCTCAGGTCTCATCACGGCTCAGCCAGCCTGTTGCTGTGGTTTCCCCGAAGGTTTCTCTGCATCCTGCCTCTCTTCTCCACTCCATCAAGAAGCTTTCCAGGGCCCTAAAGGCCATGCCCTTGGTGTGCAAAAGAAAAAAACAAAACAAAACAAACCAGCCTCGTCCTCAAGGAGCTCTCATGCTGCCAAGAGAAATCATCTGTACACAAATAAGAAGACAAAGAATGTAAAAAAGTCAGTACAAGACTGAGGCAGGGAGGGGGGAGGCCACTAACAGCTGAGGGGAGCTGAGGGACTCCAGAAAGGCCTCATCCCTCCAGCTGAGATCTGAAGGAATGAAGGGATTCAAAGAGGGGAGGAGAGTAGGGAGTACATGGCCTGGAGGTTGTCCTGGGCATGGTCATGGAGGTCAGAAATGGAAGGCCATATTCAGGGACAACAAATAAGACAGTTTTGCTGGTCAGCAAAGTGCAGGACGGGCAGGAAGGTGGGTCTGAAAAGCTGGATCGGGTCCAGGCTGTGAAGGGCTTTAAAGGCAAATGGACAAAACTGAACTGAGGTCTGGACAGGTCCCCCTGCCCCAGGAGCTTGGGTTGCTCGCTACTTTATGCCCAGGATACAATATAAATCCAGCGGTTTGGGATGCAAAGCCCTCTCTAATCAATCTCCTGTCTGTCTTTCCAGTCTGACGACCCATCTTTCCTGTGAGGTATGATCAGGCCCATCAGGCCCATCAGGCCCATGGGCTGGTCTCTGTGTGGAACAGTCCATCTCCCATGGCCACAGCTCTCGCGGCTGCCAGCCCTCCCTCACTCTTTTGTCTCTCTGCCCACACAAGCAGACCCGGCTGCAATGCCATCTCCTCAGAGAGCTCTTCCTCAATTCCCCCAGCTTTAGTGTCCTCCAAATAGCTTCTCTTTACTCTGAGCATGGCTTGTGTTCACTGTGGGCACCCTGCACCCCAAGCAAGTAGGAGTGCCCCGAGGGCAGGGGCTGTGTACCTTTGTCTTTATACTCTCAATGACTAGTAGTTCTTGGTGCGTAATGGGGGCATGATCAATGCTGATTGAACTGAATTAAATTCAGTTGAAGTCTGAAGCCTTGGACCAGAGTCCTGATCTGTCCCTTTCTCGCTTTGTTTCCTCGGGAGAGCTTTTGACCTCTCCATTGTACGTTTGGAATGAGAGTTGTAGCAGGTACCTCGTAGGGTGACTGTCACGTAACTCATACAAAGTGCTTGGCAATGGCAAAGGGCTATCCAGATAGGAGTTAGGAGGAGGAGAATGAGAAGAATGTCATCATCATGACTGGGTGCTCAGAGATCAGAGGACTGAGTGTGCCCCGGGTAAACGGTGTCACTGCCTTCCCTCGTGAAGAGGCAGAGGCTCAATTAAAACTGGGACCCAGGGACTCCCCAACTTCTGCTCTGAGTGCCTGCCAGCCCCGCCTCTCCCTCTTGATGCGCTAACACTCCTGAACACTCGAAATCCCGCTTCTGTTTTCTCTGGGCATCTAAACCAAGTGACAGGCAGGGAATCAATAAAACATCACACGCAGCTTTGGAAGCTGATAGATGAGGAGAAGTCTCACTGAGGATGTGTTTCTTTCCAGGACAATGCAGAGCTGATCACGGCCCTCCTGCACAGTGGGGCTGATGTCCAACAGGCCGGCTATGGGGCGCTGACGGCCCTGCATGTTGCCACCCTCGCCGGGCATCTGGAGGTAGGCCCCTCTTTGTACATGGGGGAACAACGCAAAATGGCCTTGCTGTTTTTAGCACGTTTTCATTGATGTCTTTCCTTCTTGCAAAACATAGTTTTCTCCAATAACCTTTCTGCCCCCAATAATGAAAATGCCATCACTACTGCTGTAATAATTTATTTAACATTTATGTGGCACTTTAAAAGTACATATGATGGGGTCCCAAGTTGAGATCTTCACCCCTTGCCCCAAAGGAAATCTGGCTCTACAGGCCCCAGCTCCTTATCTCCCTTTGAAAGCCTTAGCCTTACCTTTTGATCTTACTCAGATGCGCCTTCGCCCCTAGCCCTAAAAAGAGTCTGGCTCCCGTTTGTCTACGTCCCAGAAAACCCTTAAACTTTTAGGTTCCTTATCTACTCTCCTTATCTCCCTTTGAAAGCCCTAACCCCACTTTCTGGTCCTTTCAAACTTCCTCCTTCCAGTTCCCTTCATTATTTATTCCCATTGTTTATTCAATCTCTCAGACCTTCCAAACGGAATTCTCACCTAGACCCTTTTCCCAACCACCGGCCCTTCCTCTGGCCACCCAAAGTTACTCTAGTGTATGTAAGATCTACCCTGGCCCCCATTCAAATGCTGAGAATCTCTCATGCCCAGAGGCTGAGCTTTTCTCATGCCTGCTCATCCTTAGGGTGTCACCTGGCCTATGTGGTTTATCTCTAATAAACTTTTTCTCTGGCTGGAAGAAGATTTGAGTTGAATTCATTCAGGCAGGGCCCGCGTCGCAATCTTGGGCTTCCGAGCACCCCAAAACCTCTAAACCTCTTCACATATATTATTTCACTTGATCCTGACAATGAACTCGTGAAGTTGGTGCTCTTATCCCCATTTTACTGATGAGGGAACGGAGGCAGACAGCAGTGAAGTGACTCGTCCAGGGTCACACAGCTATCTGAGGCCAGACTTGAACTCAGAAGAATGAGAAGATTTCTCATTTTGAATCCAGCGCCTGTCTCCTATATTATCGAGCAGCCTTTTAACAATAACAACAAAAATTATCTTGTTTATTCTTGGTCTTAATCTTAGTGATTTTTTCGGTTACATAGAATATCATGCTTTGGAATGTTTGCCGTTGTTTTCCTGCTCAGTGAATAAATGCTTGGATTTCCCTTGGAGTTTTGTGTTTCCCAGTAACTCCTGGAAGCCATGTCCATCCAGTGGGAATGTTGATAGAGTTAAACATTATGGGCTACGCAGAAGCTCTGCACACTGGCTATCACGTCCAAGGTGGCAATATTAGGCCAGCCTTAAAGGGACGTTGCCGCCATCCCAGCTCTTCTGTGCCCAAAGCCTGAAGATGCTGCAGGGGAAAAGGCAGAATAATGATGCAGGGCTAGAAAAACAATAATAATATTAATAACCAATATAATAGAGCCCTTCAAGATTCACAAACCACTTTGCACTTATCACCAAATCCAGTCTAACACGCATTTATTGCACAACTTCTCCATGCAGAGCTCCAGGCCAGGTTCTATAGGTATAAAGACAAATCCATACACACACACACACACACACACACACACACACATATATATATATATGTATATGTATATGAATATGTGTGTATTTGTATATATATGTACATGTATGTGTATACATGTGCATATATATATTCCCTTTCCTCAAAGGGCTTATATTTCCCTGGGAGAATTAATAATTATAATTATAGCTAATATTTATATAGTACCTACTATGTGCCAGGCACTATGCTGAGAACCTTACAAGTATTATCTTATTTGATCCTCACAACAACCTTAGGAAATAGATTTTATTATTATTCCCATTTTGGTGATGAGAAAACTCAGGCAAAGAGAGGTTAAGGGACTTGCTGGGGCCACAGCGCTCGGAGGTGTCTAAGCTCATATTTGACCTCAGGTCCGCTTGCCTCCAGGCCCAGAGCTGACTCCACCACCTGGCTGTGTGCAGGAACATGACCCTCCTACCCAGGTGATTCCTGGAAAAAGCTCCCTCTGACCTGAGCCTGAAGGGTGCTTGGGATGAGGAGGAGGGTGGACCTCCTGCACAATGCTCTGTGTGTGGAGGTGGGAGTGAGTGCTCACTTCCGGTCAGTTGGTCTGGAACACAGAGTGTGGGAAAGGGAGAAATTTAAAATGAGCCTATCAAGGTGGCTGGCTGTAAAGGAGTTTGAATGCCAAACTGAGCCATCCTGGAGGAATAGGAAACATTATTCAGCACAGTGATGATGTCATCAAGCTTCTGATTTAGGAAAATTATTTTGGAAGCTATTTGAAGGGTGGAGAGGTTGGAAGCAGGACATCCCTTTTGGAAGCAGATGAGATTATACCATTTGAGCCAACATTGTGAGGCAGATATCATCGATATCATTGCCGTTTTTGGCCTGGGGAAACTGAGGCTGTGAGGGATTAAGTGATTTAGCCAAGGTAACGCAGCTAGTATTTGTCAGACTCAGGATTTGAACTCAGGTCCTCCTCATGGCAAATTCAGCCTTCTATTCCGTAAATCCCATGTGTCTCAAAGACATTGTCTGCCGGTAACTCATAACAAATGAAAAAGCCAAGAGAGGTAAGGGTTTTGCCTTGTTTCACGGAGGAGGAAATGGATCTGCTCTTCATAGCCGGGTCCTCTTACTCCAGATGCAGTGAGCGGCCTTTCCAGTGGGAAATCTCTGACCCACTTTTCTTCATGTCCACCCCAACTGAGACTGTGGGAAGACAAGCTTAGTGATGTCCTTTGGAGTCATCTGGGAAGTTAGACATCCCCCACCACAAAAAACAAATAAATATAAATAAACAACAAATGACAAAGCGCCCTGCCCAAATGCTCTCACTATACCTTTCACCTGGTGTTCCTATTGTTCCCCTTTGTGGCTGGCTCACTGATCACTGGGGGACTTCTTCACTGTGGTTTCCCCCAAGTCTCTACTTCAACTTTAATAGCAATGAAGTTTTGGATCAACCATAAGAATGCGTACCGTGGCCAAGGCAAGGACGTGGAAGTCCCCCTGTACTCTGCCTCAATGAGAAGACATCTGTGGGTGCCACATTTGAGAAAAGACCTTGATAAGATGGAGAGTGTCCAGGGGAAGGTGGACATAAGGGTGAAATTAGGGTGTGACCCGGGAGATTTTCTTGACATCAAGTCTAAAGGTGCCTCTTGGCCTCGCCCACCCATTGTTCCCGGGTATGCCCTCTGCGGCCAAGCGGAACAAGGCTGATGCCCTCCCATGATGGCCTTTCAGGCTAGAAGATGGAGATCATGAGCCCCCTGTGTTTGGTCTTTTCTAGACTCCTCATTTCCATTTCCAACCCGATCATGGAAAAAGAGATGTCATGGCTGCCCTTGGGTGCCTGAAGGGCTCCCATGGGGAAGATGGATGAGACTCTTCCTGTTGACCTCAGAGGACAGAGACTCCCGCCTTGAGGAACAAAGTCAAACAGCTAGAAGTGATCTTGTCAGAAGCAAAGAGGCAAATTCAGTGCCACAAAGTGGGTGAGAGGGAGCTCTCTTTTACTAGAAGTCATTGAGCAAATTTGGACAACCCCTTGTAGGGTCAGTCAGGAAGAAGCACTTATTATCATATGTAGGTTGGAGTAGATGATCTCTAAGGTTCCCTCCAATGCTGAAATGCTTTGATTTCACACAGCCCTACCCAGGGATTACAAGCAAGGCTTCAACTTCAGACAAATCAACGTCAGGGGTATTCTTGTGGAAGTTCAAATTTGCCATTCCAGTCCCCATGCAATAAGATGACAGAACATCATGTCAAAATCACAGTAGATGTGACAAATAAAATCTTTTTCCACCCACTTTAGTTACCTCCTGCATCCACAGTCAGTTATCTTAAGAGCATAAATGCACAGATGGAAGGAAGCTCAGAGGCTCTCATTTTACTGATTAGGGAACTGAGACTTCAGTAAGAATTGGTCCAGAGGCACAGGAAGCAAGCTTTAGAGTCAGGATTTGAACCCAGCTCCTTTGATTCCAGGACCAATGGCCTTTCCATTGACTCATAGTGCCTCCTATAGGTCAATCCATTGCCTATATGTTCAGACAGGAGCAAGCTTACATGTACTGAACTAAAACTGAGTGTTTTCCTTGTCCTCAGAGGCTGGTCTCAGAGTACATTGAGACAATTAAGGCCAGAGAGTCATCTAAAGAAGTAAAACATTTCATTTTTACATTCTGTCCTTCAGCCTGTCATTTTCCCCCAGCAAATAAATCTGATCAGTGCAATTCACAGTAAACGTTAAGTCTATGTGGCTCCTTTGTGAGGAAAAGGAACTCCCACTGGGCTTCCCTAAATATTTAAACACACTTTCAAAAGAAGGAACACGTTTGGACCAAGGATGAGACACAAAGCATTTAAAACTTTAAAATGGCAAAGTGGGAAGAATTGATGAGGGAGATTTTAGGAGGCAATGGAGCAAATTCAGCATGAGACCTGGAGCGAGAGACAGAATGTGAGGTCTCTAAGAGGAATGGCTCTTAGTTGTATCAATGCTAAGCTGCCTCCATTGGTAAAGGAGGGGATTTCAGCGGAGATCACTAACGGAGTACATAAGACCACACAGTCAAAAATCTGCCATTCCTTGCATTGCAAATCTTGGTCTGGAAAGAAATATGTACTCAGTGAGTCTTTCTGGCAGAACTGTAACTTATCCAGAGCAAAGAGGTCTCTATTCTTTTCCCCTTTCTCCCCTGCCCCCATCTCCTCATAGATCCTGCCTCCCATTTCTCTCATTTGCCAATATATTTAAAGATTTCAACTTGAATCCTTCCTTCTTCCTTCTCCCTCCAGTCAATTTCCAAACTTTCTCAATTCCATCTCCACATTAATTTTCGTATCTGTCTGTTGCATCATTCTTCCAGCCAACTTGATATTCCATTTTGGGCCCCCATGCCTTTGCATAGTATGGTACCCAGCTCTGGAATGTTCCTCCTCCTTCATAGAGAGGTCAGTCTCTATGAATCACTGGCTC